TACATATATACATATGTATATAATATACAAAATTTTTATAAAGACGAAAAACAAAAATAAAAATAAATAAACATGGCTTCATATAACAAAAATAATTTTAAATATATAAACAAAAATTTAAACAAAAACCTGAACTAAGAACACTAAATCCAAAACACTTATCCCTAAACCCTTAACACTAAATCCAAAACATTTATCCCTAAACCTGGTCAAGAAATGAAAAAATATTCGTACCAATTTTAAAGAGGCATCATGCTAGATTCTATGAAAATAATTTCAAACTTTTAAATATTATTTTTCCTATTATAATAGAATTGAGTACAGTTATCATGCTATATAATAGGTAACTAGATTGTTTAGCATATATCTCAAGTATATTTAATATAGTAAGTACCAAATACTTTGTAAAACCACAAGAAGGAACATACGTATAATATTTGCATAGACTTATATATTAACAAAGGTATTGCATAAAATATATACATAAATACATATATAAATATTCAAATATAAACCATTTTTTTAAATAATTTTTATTGTCGCAAATTATGAGACATTTTATAAAATTTTAAATTTACACACTGAATCTAATTCAAAGAAGATGATAGCAATATAAAATATAATTAAATGTATATTATTTATTGAATATGCATAATTATATTATAAGACTATATTCGATAAAAAATAAACACGAGACCTAAATTACATGCAATAAATATTGAATGCTGAACGAAAAAATATTACATATAATTTTAAATATCAGTATCTAAATATATTAATTAAATATATATCATCTATTCAATTTTCATATGCAGAGAAAAATATAGAAAAAAATATTTTATGATATAGTTATCAGGTATATGCATGTATATTCATTTTATTGTATTATTTTGTGGAACAATTTTATCATTATACTTCCATATATACAAAAATATTAAAAAAAAATTATTATTATTTAATATATTTTTAAAATTCAAATTTTATATGTATAAGTTTATTAATATGTACATAAGGTTTAAAATTTTTTTTTTCTAATGTATATGTTACTGTTGTGTAGTACTATTTAAAAATGTAATAAGAATCTAATATTATAGAATTATTTAAACTTCAAAAAATTTAACAAAGTATACGTCTTTTATCAATATAATATTTTTTAATGATATTTTTATTACGTGTAATTATTTATAATTAAAAGCAATAAATGTTATTGTTCCATTATTTGATATATTTTACAAATCAATTTTGCTAAGAATATGGTGGAGGTATGATTTTTCTTTTTAGTTTAATTATAATTTATATTTTATAATTTTATAAAGCGTTATTTTATAAATATTTTAATATAATTTTTCTTTAAAAAATATATTTTTAAATATTATAATTTTTAATTTTAGTTTAATTATAAAGGCATTTTCCCCCAATGTACAAACGAATATATTGTGGACGCAGACAACATTGCAAATGAAGAAAAAATTAAAATTAATGATGCGTGTGAACTGATGATATATAGGTTAGAATTTAGCTCAGTAAAAAAGTTATCTTTTTTACAAGAATGTCGAGATCTTAGTTATTTTTTAAATTACATAAAAACTAAAAGTGAAAAAGAAATTCCTTGTAATTATTTCAATTACAAGCTAAAACAGATCTCGATACAGTATAAATCTAGCATTAATAAAACAAAAACTGCTTACGATAAAATGAATAAGCTTATATACAAAAGAATTTAGGAACATATGATATTTGTAATAATTATCTTAAAAATCTTGAAGAAGATACATTTTTAAATTTATATTTTCTGGAATGGTTGTATTATTTTCTTCAAGTATACGAAAATAAAGGTGATATTTCTACATGCCCAATGAAAATCTTAGATTATAGTAAATATTTAATATCTCTCTCAGAATGTAATAAGCTGTATAATAATAGTTTCTGTGATATTATCAATGAATTGCAAAGTAGTAAAAGTGATTATATGGTGTTTATATCTAAATGTCTGAAAGATGCTGAACCCTTGGCTATGAGCACTGAAAAAAGTACAATACGAGTTGTTTTAGCGACACTTATTGTATTATTTAAAATATTAATAACTGTATTTATTTTTTATAAAGTTAAACATACAAATAATTTTAAAAAAGACAGTGAATTACATTATGTGTTAAAAATTATTATAAATATTTACATTAAAAAAAAAGTATATTAATATAAATATTTTTATTTTTTCCTATTACTAATAGTTTAATTATTTTAGATTATATTTACAACGAATATTAAGGAATATAAGAAGACTGTGGTTTGACAATTATAATGACTATTACATATTAAAGGATAACTTTGAAATGGAATACAAAAATTCAATTCAAAATGAATACAAACTAACATATACCTCACTAGGTGATTAAAAATTTTTTTATAATATATTAACGATGCTTAATAATTCGTTTATGTTAAAAAACAAACCTATATGAATGCATCTTTTTAATAAATGATTAAATAATATTTAAAATATGGGATTCAGAGTTTAGAGTGTATGGTTAAGTAATTAGTTTATGTCAAAGTATAGAATTTGGGAATAATGCATGGTAATGATGGCTTTATTTGTTTTGCTTGTCTTATTTTTTAGATATTATTCATAAATTCATTAAATATATACACTTATTCATTAAAAACATCTTCTCTGAAAGTGTATATAAAATTCTTTATAATGGATCATATTGAAATTTATTTATTTGCATCATGATATTGCATTTAATGAAAATAAAATAAATTTAATCATTTTTTTTAATAATATAAATTTTTTTATTATAAATATAATATGCATACATTATAATCTATACATATAATATATGAAAGTTTTGTTTCTATAATTCATTTCGAACGTAATTGGCTACAAATATTTTTTTATATAATAATATTTTATGTATGTCTTTTTGACAATTTATATAAATTATTATTATATTTTATAAAACGAGTTATTTCTATTAATTTTTTACATCTTAAATTTATTATATTATTAAATTTTAATTTTTTTTTTGTAATTCATTTTTAAGATTTTTGTTTTTTTCAACAAATTTATATTTTTAATGCACTAAATACATCAGGTTTATATTAGTGTTACTATAATTAATGGTATATCCTTTATCATTATCTTTAATTAATTCCTCTAAAAAAGTCTAATTTAAATATATAATGAAAATGACAATTAATACAATTTTAGAAATTATTATGCAAAATAAAAATAAATTAATAATTATGGAGTTGAACATTTTAAAATAATTGATTTCGTAAATAATATTCAAACAATATATATAAATACTCATAAGATCTTTATGCATAGGATAATTTTAAAATAATATATATATATATATATAACAAATTCCGGAAAAGTTTAATCACCCGTAATTAAGTACATTGATTGAAACTGTAAAAAAGGTAATATGTGAAGAGACTAATAAATAATTATCCATTGTTATATACTGTTAGAAATTTTATAATTGATAATACTTGTGAAGTATATACTTGTAATGTATTTCATGTTGTATGAATATTTATTAATTTTTTATGAATAAAAATATTTCAAAAATAGTTTACTATCTTAGAAATACTATTAATCTTGAAAATATAATTAATTATCATTTAAATAAGCAAAGGTACATAATTGTAATACAATAATTATATTTGACAATGTTTCAACAAATTCCTTTTTAATGCATGCTTATACAAAATTAATTATGATGATCGTTTAAATTCTTTTAATAAAAATTAATAGAAATTTTATAATAACATAAAGCTTTGAACAGAAGTGAACAATAATAAATATAAAATGAATAAGAGTTAGTCATAATAATCCCATTTAGGTAAATAATTGTTTCTATAAGTATAGAGAGGAGGACAGAATGAAGGATAAAGATGCACAAGGGATAGGCTGAGTTTTATTTACAGGTATGGGTAAAGTTTTTATTCTTTTACCTTTTATAATATTAATAATGGAATTTATTTCATATAAAGTTAAAATTAAATTTAATACATTAGATATATTTGTTATAAAATTAATGTTACATATAACTATGAATTTCATATATATAATAAATTAATTTTGTATAAGGATATCATATTTTATGTTATTTTTGGTATAGAGAAATTTGTTAATTATTACAACGAATGCTAACTAATTTGAGGAGAATGCTAAAAAAAAAAAATATATAGTATCAATTTAATGGTTTCTTTTGAAAATATATACAATAATTCAAAAAAGACGTGCAATTATATATAGATCAGTAGAATACGAATATAATAATAGTAAATTAATTAATATTGTTTTATAAAATAATTAATTTTAATGATATTTTTTATGAAAATAAAATAATTATTCTTAAAAAATAATTTGCATATATCAATAGAGGTATAATAAGCATTCCCTATTGTTTTTACAATATAGGATGAATAAATAGAATATAAAATATGAAATATTATAATATAATATCCTATAATTATAGTGCTTGTATTATTTTAAAATTATATAAAAATAATCCTACAGATATGATGCATTATGTAAACATTTATGAAAGAATATGAATTCAGGCTGAAGACAAAAATTATATTAATAGAGTACAATTCGTGAAATTCACTAATTTTTTATTAGATGTAGCTAAAATAAAGTGTGCAGTTTTACATTAAATAAATAAACAAAATAAAAACGTATAAATGGGGAAATAAATTAAATAATGTCTAGTAGAAAAAATAAATCCTATAAATGGATATAAATTCTTTATTTTCGTAAGTTTAATTTGAATCGTTCCTAGTAAATGATTGTTGTATCGACGTTAGTATATTAGGGTACTTCTATTTATTACACACTATTATAAAAATATAAATAACATAACATAAAAAATGAATCTAGGAGAAATTTATTCTCCCATTAATTAGCAAAATTCTGATTGTTGTATATTTAATATATTAAAATTCAGTAATAAAGGGAAATTCATGGTATTTATCGATAAAAATATACATCATATATTTGGTAGGATTATATTAATCAAGTGAAATAATATTATATTTAATTTATATTATTATATTAATTAATAATTATAATGTTAGAACACGTATACTTATATTATGTAATCATTATATTATTTTAAATTATTTTTTACCATTGTGATATATATAATGAATTGTATACTCATTCATCCTATATATATAAAAATAAGTTATTCCATGTAATAATCTATATTATATGTTTTTTTTTTATATAGTATATGTATACTACAAGAAATTAATATATGTATGTTGTAATATATACCATTTTATATTTTAGATTCATAGATAATAAGTAGTTTTAACCTAAATAATTCCATTAAATTTACTATAATATAATAATAATTCATAACATAATTAAAAGAAATTCTTCATATATAATGATAATATATATATGAAAACTATTTTGAGAAATTTAAATTAATGTTTCACATTGTGTGCTAGATTTTCTTCAATTATTTCGATAAAAGCCCTTGGAGAAATATACTCTAATTAAAAAATAAAATTTAATGATTATCAATAGTACAAATTTATATGTAGATAATTTAGATAATTAATAAAATATTTTTACAATTTTAATATTTTATAATTATTAATCCTATTTTTATTTTGGACTACATTAGAATATATATTCTTCATAACATGAAAATTATGCTTATCTATAATAATTTGTAATAATACTACATATTTGCATATTCTAGATATATGCTAATTTTTATATATATATATATATTGTTAGCAAGTACATATGTTTTGCTAAACGTTAATGTGTTAATTATATCGATAATATCCATTCTTTTTTTCCTTTTTTTTTGTTTATATTATATTAATTGTAAAAATATATTAAATGTCAATATAATATTGCAATAGATACATTCATTTGATTTCACTAAAAAGAAAGTATAACACATTATTTTTATTACATTTTTCAAAAAAACTAATATATTATATATATATTTACAATAAGATGAATGATATTCTAATATTATAGTATAATTTTTCTCCGAAAGCTATTCATTTGTTTTGTGAATATAATTGATAGTTAAGCGCGTAATGAATGTATACTCTAACTGTTATTATAATGTACCACAATTTAATTGAATAAGGAAATTATATATATGTATTTAATTTATCCTATTTTTATATAGTTATGATGCTTATACTTCAATTTGTATTAATAATTCAAAATTGAATATATATATATATATATATATTATAGAATTTTACTAGGTATTATAAATAGTCTTTTTATTTTAATATAATAAATCATATTAATATAATTAAAATTATTTTATACAACAATTCAAATGTTATACTGTACTTATTAATGTAAAATAAATTGGATCCACTAACTGAAATTGCTCATTTATTAGTTATATCTAACTTAGCTATATGATATTTTATAGATATTATCATTTATATTTTTGTATTCAACATCGAATGAATTCAAAAAGTCCAGATTATTTTTGTTATTTTTATTAAACTTTCTTCTTAATTTTCGTACACTTGGCTTTAAAAATGAAAAATAAGTTGAATACTAAAGAAAAAATAAAATAATATTTATATTTATTGTTCATTTATTTTATATATATTTTTTATAAATATTTCTAATATAAATTATATTACAACATAAATTTTTTCATATTGATTTTTTTTTTAACCTTATACAAAATAAACGTAATTATTAATATTGAAAAACCTATAAAAGCCGTTCCATTACTTAATCCTGTGTTTGTTACATCATCTGTCACATTGTCCATTAAAAGTTGAGAATGTATTGTTTCTTGTTCCATAATTTCTGTAGTTTTTACATCTTTTTTCCTTTTCTTCTTCAAAATTTCATCACCTAATTCCGTGAGTTTCATTTTTCTGAGGCCTATCCAATTTTTTTCTGTTAGGAGATATGCGGCGTGCTTTGCGGTATGATGATCTTTCCAACCTATTATATAGCCTTCACATACATTAATAATTTTTTCGAGTTCTGCCTTAAGTCGGCTTTTATTATTACAACTATAATTTTCTAAGTCTATAATTTTCTGTTGGAATTTGCGCATTTCTGTAGTGGTACATTGAGAGCGATTTTTAAAGAGATCAATATAGTAATATATTTTAAAAAGATGTTCCAATAGTTTATATGTATCTTCTTCAACATTTTCATAATATTTCATACATATATTAGATATGGTTGTTGGAAAATTCCGTATACTTTTTTTTTTTGTCATCTTCTCATAGCATTGTAGAGAATCAGTACATTTTAATTTAAAACTATGCATTAGTTCTTTTTCTAGTTTATAATAGAATAATTCACAACATGATTTTAGATTAATGCCATATCCTTTACTTTCTATATGTTTTAAATACAAGCCTAGAACACGACACAAAATAGAAAAATCAGAAGATCTGTTTTCTAATCCTTCATCTTTGTAAAAATCACTACATAATGTTGTAAATTTATGAGATTCCTGATTTCTGTTATGATGATGTGATATCCAACTAAACCCATTCGTACATGTAGGAAATATACCAGTAAAATCGAACTAAGAATAAAAGATTTATTTTACACAAAAATAATAAAAACATTGAAAAAATAATATTGGTTTCAATTTTTAATAAATAAGATATATTAAATTATGTTTATAAAGCTTTATTTCATTAAATATTTGAATAATACATCTTCACTATCTAATATAGTGCCACTCGTCATAATTTATATATCTTTGAAAGAAAAAAAATAAGTTATAATCTATATATAATAAATTTTTATTTGTTACAAATATCAGGATAAATATTATATTCACATCACATATAATACAACATATGATGTTATTTAATTCTACATATTTTATTATAAATTTACAGTTTTATTAAATTCATTATTAATTTAAAAGTGCGCTAATATTATTTGTTCTGGGCAAGAAGATGTTACTTAAAAAACATATCATAATAGGAAAAATAAATTCATATTGTTCTAAATATATAATAAAATCAAAATAAACAATATACTTTTAATAGCATATATATATTACAACTTTTATAAAGTTTCCAATTCATGTTATAAAATAAATTCTATATGCAATATAGTAAATAATTTTATTATAAAATATTTATTTTATATTTTTAATTAAAATGTATAAATATATGATATCTTATATCTATAAAATATATTAGTTCAAAACACATGGCTAATAAGACATACAAACGCATATATATTTTTTGCTTATTTTTGTTTTCAATATTTTAATTTTCTAAAATATTAGCAATGTATTAGGATTCATATTACATTTTTTTAAAATATATTAGGAACACATGAACATAATATTTCTTAATTTATTTGAATATTATTAAAATAAATTAAATACTATTTTATAAAAATTTATAATTTATATATACATTAATGTGAGGATATTGTGCACTGTAAATTATTATTTAACATGAATATACATATATTTACCTATAAATGTGTTATTTATATTTCATTTTATATAATACTATAATCATATAAATGTTATATTATGTATAAATAGGAAAAATAATTAAAACATATTATTTTATATAATATAACATACCCGTATATATTTTATAATGAATATATCACCTTTACTTTATATAATATAATACTATTATAAAATAATTTACTTATAAAAAAGTATCGTTAGAGCCTCAATATTATGTATTTATTTTTATTTTTTTTTATATTTTATTATTCGAAGTAAAATTATTCCATCATATATTGTTATATTTTTTATTTTATTTTTTTGTTCATTTTATTAAAATCAAATTATTCATGCTGGATAACCCAAACAAATCAATTTTTTTTAAAATTTAGTAAATGAAATTATAGTTATTCCTCTATAAATGCAAAAAAAAAAAAAAATATATAGTATATGTGTTAAACTTTTTATAACTATTTCTGTATTTCATTTATGCAAATTAAATTTCATAATGATATTTTTATTATTTTGGTTTAATTATTTATAAAATAACCCAAATGTCTTATGTTATTTATACTCAAATATTTTATAAAAAAATCCATAATAATTTGATATAAAATTGACTTAATTTTTATGTGAATTGAATGTTTAAGAAAATAATTTATTTATTATGCATACTTAAAAAAAAATATAAATATACTATGTAATGAATTCATACAGCTCAAATATCAAGAAATAATAGATTTAATTGAGTATATATACATTAATTGTTATAATGTTTTTTACTATATTATCATACGAATTCTATACTATTTATTATATGAGTTACATAAAATTTATTTTTTCATTTAGTTATTATTAAATAAATATGCCTTTTCCGATAATAATAAAATATTAGAATATTATTTTTATTTTACATATTGTATAAAAAATTCCCTAGTATATTAGTATTATAGAAATGATAATGTTTCATTTTTATTGTATTATTGTGTAATATTAGATATATGTTGCAAATTAATATATGTATTTTTTTTAACTACATATAACCAAACATATAACATATTTTACACGTATACTTGGAACATATTATTGAGTTTTCATAATGGATACTTAATAATTTGGATGGAAATAAGATACCATAACACATATATATTTATATATATATATATTAACATAGGATGTATAAAATATATAATAAAACATGTAAATCATAATGCTATTTTTTTATGCTGTAAAATTTTTTATAAAAATTTATATTTTCTAACTTATAAATATAAATATTTTATTTATCAAAAAATTATATTTTCTCATATTAAGGTTCTATCTAGAACAATAATGTATCTTAATACATAAATTATTCGTTTTTTTTAAATTATAGTTTTATTTAAAATATTACTACGTATTTATTCCTACGGAATTTCTCCACCGATTTTCATATATTTTTTTTTGTTATGCTGAGAATTAAAAAGAATAAAATAAATACATAATTATAAATAATAAATTTTATTATGTTAGTTTTATTAAAATATATCCTAGTACAATTAAATATAATAATATGAAATAAACTTATGCTCTAAATATATTTATATAATAAATTGAAGATCTAGAAGTATAAAAACTTCTCAAAATATCTAGGTAATTGCTTAATATGATTTAGTAAATAAAAAACTAAATATCCCTTAATTTGAGAACTTTTTGAGCTTCAAATATATATAGTTGTATGTTAAAACATAATATGTATATGCATTATACTTTTATTATTTATTAAAAAATTTTAATATAATTTATCCTTAATGATATGGAGTGCTATTATGATTTTTTTTTATTTCGGATAAATTTTTTTGTACATAAATAATTCTTATAGTTGAGGATACATTTTATTTGTTCATAAAAATATTATCAATGTTATTGTTTAAATTAAATATAACTTAGTGTTCTAAATATAACAATGATTATAATTAATATATAATACATTTATATATATAATTCAGTGTTGTTATAAACATTTGTATGACACATTACACTCACATTTTTAAATATATGATCACAGTTAATAGGCTTTGTGACTCATGGATTTGAATGTTTGTATTGACATATACCATTAAGATTTTACATTAATTTTTAGAATTTGTTTTATATAATTAATATTTTTTGTTTTAGGACTTATTGTTGGAATTATAATGTCTTTTTTACATATTTAGATCACACGAAATAATATTTATATTTTATTTTTTACATTTTTATTATAA